CACTGTGTGGTGTCCCACAGTGACACACAATGCATGAACACAAAAGGCTAACAATCCCTCTGAAGAGAAGGTTCCAAACTAAAAGCTTCACAAACCAAAATCTAAAAGTCAACAAGTTGCTACAGTCAGCTGTAGAAGGGAGCACAAGAAGCAGTGATTAGCAGCTGCCACTGCACTGAATGGCTTTTCTTTGTCATTTCAGCTATGGAAAGGAGGATGCAGAGGTAGTTTTTCCCAACACTGTTTCAAGAGAATTCAAGAGCTATTTCTCAAAACTAATTTAAGATTCAGTCTTAAGTCACAGTCTCACTGCAAAACGTTTGTGATGCACAGGTCTCACAGTTTGTTTTGTCATATTCTTGGTCAGAAAAATTTCACAATTTTTTAAGGGGTCCAGACAGGAAAACAATGAGCAGTGGGTTTGACCAAAGTACTGTCACAACCAAGCATGCGTGAATTTGGAAAACCCTGTCAGGGAAGTAGTTGTATACACATCCACTCTACACTCTGCACTGCAAAAGTGTATCACACAGAGAATTTTCTCCTTCTCTTGAAATAACTTCAGAAGTATATACCTTACAAAAGTCCCATATGTTCTAATATAATGTTCTCTCCATTTCCTATATTTACTCATTTTTCATAAAAAAAATAAAATTGACACATTAAAGATAGAGCATAAAATACAGATAAAGACAAGTCACTGATAACTCACAGATGATACTACCCTTTTTCGTAAAAGTAAAGTGTTATTCATCTTAGGAAAAAATATTCCTTCAAAATGTCTAACAGCTGTTTTATTTTTAGGACAACATGATTTCAGGATAATGTCTATGTGAAAGCATAAATTGTGCTGTTTCTGCTATCGAGTGTGGGTGATGACAGTGGGCTTCAGTAAAAACAAACTTTGCTGGATGAGAATGCTTCTTTATTAGCCATTTTAAAAAACACATCTATGACCTGAAGAACAAAGTTTGCAAATTTGGCTGTATTTTGTCTACAAAAACTTAACTTTAATCTGTAACAGTTTGGTTGTTTGTTTTTTTTTTTTTGGTTGGCTTTTATAAACACAAGTCTATTTCTAAGTGGAACTAACATGAATATGAAATTCAAGGGTTTTTTTACCCTTTGAAATCTCATACAAAAAAAGTCTTCATTACTGATCTTCCTGGCAAGAAAATACTGCTTCCAAGATCTCAAATAAGCTTATTTTGAAAAACAGGTTTTGCTTTAATTTATAGAATCTGTACTCAGTTTTCTCATAATCATTTTGTTAATGCATTGAATTCAAAATGTCAATCAGCACAAGTTTATCTTCTGTATATTTGGTGGTTCAAACAGAGAAGAAGAGGAAAGTATCTATTACCATGCTGACTGCTTCTCCTTTCCCTTGATTTTTTACTGAAGAAAGCACTTACACTTTGTCACTTCCATATTTCTTGCAGTACTCCATTGCAACCTGACAGACACACAAAAAACCACCATAAAACAAACCCAGGAATCAAGGTAGAAGTTTACATTTGCTCATCTTTTAAAACAAAATAAATTAACAGCACAGACGTATAACCACTTCAGTCAGCACAAATACATTGCCAGTTTTCGCTGGAGTCTGTTCGGGAAAATAAAAACTAGTTCACAGTCAAAACAAGAAGACTGAAGAAACTAGTCATGTTCAAAAGAACAGGATACTCCAAACCCCATCCTCCCACTCCAAAAACCTCAAACTTAATTTAACTTATACTATTACAGACCTTTTATATTAACACCAATAGTTAATAAAAGAAATATAATTTTCAACTACAGTCACCTGTTTATCACTTGTCTTGCTGCTGTTTGTGGTTTTAAAGAAAAATTCACATTGATCTAAAATCCCATTCACACTGCAAAGATCTGCAGATTTTGTTCCATGCTGTGAGGAAGAGAAAGCATGAGTTTTCTCATCTTAATTTTTTCTAAAGGTTGTCTTGAGTGCTTGTAAATCCAGAGGCCTGCAGCCGTTGTATGCTCAGTTAAAAGAGATGCCAGAAGGAATGCACAGTAGTCAAAAATATTTACGAGCAATCCTTAATGGACAAGCTTAAGGAAAGTAAATCAAAAAGCAGTATGCATTTTAGTAGCTACCTCAAACATCTTCCAAGCAGTAGTAAAAAAAGCCCTCAAGTTAGTGACATACATCAAAGTTGAACCAGAAGAATATAGAACTATTTTGAAAATACTACTACTGACACAGGGATTTTTAAATAAACAATGCCATGAAGAGTGTGAAGAAGAACTATGTCAGATGTTCTGTCAATCACAGTATGAATTGGGTATTTTAAAAGACTTTTTAGCTTCCTCAAGTTCATATTCACATCATCACTATGCATACATAGAGTATTTCATAAGAAATTTCTTGAAGTTAGGATTAGAATTCTGAGAATCTCAGCTGCAGGAAAATGGCTGTCACACTTGCCAACCAAGAAAACTAGAATTTGCAAAAGAATTATATGTGTATTCATGTGCATACGTGACATCCATGATGCATAAAGAACAATGACAGAAAGCACTCAAAAATATGAACTTCAATTGTCAACTATTTCAAGTACCAAAATATAAATGCAAAAAACTGTTACATTCCACAAACGTAGTTAAAAACCCCACACCTCTGATTGCTTGGGAAGACAATTGTTTTTCTTACCTTTGTAGTTTGATCTTTACTGCCATCATTAGCCACTATGACTTCATAAGTCTTGCTTCTTGAAAATAAAAGCAGAAATAATATATTTAATCCAATTTCATAAGTAGGCAGTAGGTCTTTCAAACATCATTATTCTTTTCTCTCCAGAAGGTTTTAAATCATTCATGGTTGCCAATGGACACTAATATGATATAGTAAATTTGTTAACATGGCATAATTAAAGAATTTTGCCATACTTGATGAACGTACCATTACACTGGGTTGTCATGCTACCATCCAGAACTGAAAAATCAATTCAATTGTAAAAGATGAACACTCGGAACATTAACACTGTTGAGAAAACCCAAACGGAACAAATCCACAAACTTTCACAATGGGCTTCTTACCCAGAGAGCAAATCATAATGAAGAACAGATACTTAAGAAACTTGTTGGAACAAGTTAAATGTATGGTTAATCTTTAGCTTTGTCTTGGAAAGATAACATTCACATGAAGATTTTTTCATCGCATACCAGTATATTAAATTTTTACTTAGTTTAAAAATACTTTTTTGCAATTGATCTAAAAATAACTGATAAGAGACCAAAGTGTTACTTCTAAGTAGCCAAGTATTACTGTTTAATATACACTAACATAACAAAGTAACTAGATGACTGCTTATTATACATAATACACCAAAAATAATGAATTTTGAATGCAAAAAGAAAATACCTGTATTTTTTCTAGATAATCCAAAGCTTCATCCATCATAAGAGGTACTAGAGAAAAGGTGGAGGAGGTCAGGTTAGTAGATCATAACAGGCAAAGCACCAAAAGCACTTGCACAAGCAAGCTGTAAACAACCACAAAGCAAAGCTGAGCAAATCGACCCTTTCATACGACACTACCTTCAGCAAACAAGCTTAGCAGCTGCAACTTGAAGTTCTGTCCTTTCTGACTGCAAAAAGAACACTGAAGAAAATCACGCACATGATAAAAGACATGATAAAATTTCTTCTGAGGAACCAATTTTTCATTTTGAAATTTGTAATTCTCTACACAAGATTAAAAGAAAAAGAAATCATTCTTCATGACTGACCTTGAAATCCAGCACTGACTTTATCTACTTAAGCAAGCTGACAGCTTGTGTACTACCATGTTTGATTATTTCTATCACATCTGAAAGCCTTCACTCAGTATCAGGCACTCATATCTATGGCCAAGTCAAACACAAACCTGTGAGATCATCCTTTTTTCTGCTCGTCTGAAGCTGCTGCTGTTTAAAGAGTGGAAAGCTCTCAAATCAGTTTTAAAAGTCTTTTTTTTTTTACTTCTTGCCTTGCAGCATTTACAGGAGCAATGAACAACCATTCTTCTGGGGTTCATTAAAACAGAGGACTTGTAGTTAAAGTGCCCCATGCTATTTTTTGCAGCAGAAATCAAGTTATACAATGACTTAATTTTGAAATTCAATGTAATTGGACTGTTTTCTGGAAATTGTGTCCAAAATCTGATACATAATCTGGCCTGCCAGAATCTACCCCAAACATAACTGACCTCTGCATTATTACAGGAACAACAGATAGATTTTCTTCTTTTCCTCAAAACAAGAAAAATCTTACACCAGTCTTCGTCATCCTATGAAGGCATCACAACAGAGTTCCCTTGTAGGGGGATCATGTATACTTTGTGCAGGTTCTTTCCTGCCTTCAGCGCTTACGAAGAATTTCTCTTCTTTGCGTCGATGAAGGGTTGGCATTTTTTTGGGAGTTACGTAAGCTACTGCACAAATCTATGACGAAAAAGAAATAAGAAAAGTTGTTGAGCATTCTATTAGAAGTTGACCTAGCTGTTGAATGTGCTACAAAGGGCAACCAAATGTATTTCAATAATGAGGTGGGTCAATGCTGTGGAACTTGATCCACTGATTGAATCACAAAAGACTAAAATCCTCTCATGTTGTTTGGTTACTCCTAGTCCTCAGACTGACCACTGTCAGCATCATTGGCTTGTTACTATTTCTGACTGCAAAGCATGCAGATGCCTCCAAAGTTGTGGTCCAAGCGCACACAGCCCCTTCCCCAAGTAATCCTGAGCACGCAAACTGGTGTGGCCCCTGATCCCACCCTGTGCCACTGAAATCAAGGCCTTGGCTCATGACCAACCAGCCACGTGCTTGCAAAACAGAGGCTCTGATCACCTTATGAATAGCTAAAATAAAGCCATGGAACTTGGGGTTTGGAGCACTTTATTTGGTAACACCACATACAGAATCAATTAGGTTGGAAAAGACCTCTGAGATCATCGAGTCCAACCTACAACCGAACACCACCATGCCAACTACACCATGGCACTGAGTGCCACGTCCAGGAAACACCTCCAGGGACAGGAGGCATACGTGGCACTGCGGACAGGCAGCAGAATTCCACCTTCCAGGGTGTCCCATTTCTGCAACTTGCAGGGTATTTCAGCCACGCAGAGACACAGCGATTTCCCAAATTGTTACTGCGAACGGGCGTTACCAGGACATTTCCCAAGGCGTCTTTATCCCCTCGGCAGGTCCCCGGACGCCTTGCCCGCACCAACCCCCGCACCAGCGCAGCCCCGCCGGCTGCTGCCCGCACGGCTCCAGGTGCCACCTGCTGCTCCAGGGCCAGCCCTGGCCGGGCCGGCCGCAGCCCCCCCCGGACGCGCCCACGCAGGGCCGCGTCCCGCGGCAGTGCACCGCTCCGCATCGCTGGGGGGCACGGGCGCAGACGTCGCGCACCAGCGCCCCGCCAGGGAGAACCCGGCCTGCGTGACGCCGCGGTGCGCAGCTCTCACCGAGGAGAGCCAAGGAGGGTGCGAGAGTCGCCAGCGCGCCGTCGCAGGGATAGGGACAGTGGACAGGACAGGACAGGGACATAGGGCAAGAGACAGGGCGGCGCTCATTCGCCCCGGCGGCGCGCGGGACTGTCGCGCGGCGGCAGCGAGGCGGATCTGCGGCCAGGCACCGCCCGCCGTGCCGGCCGGAGAGCCGCCGGCGCCCCCTCGCGGCCGGGCCCAGCCAAGCGCCCGCTGGTTTGACCGCCGGCCGCCTAAGGCCGGCTCCCGCAGAGCCGGCCGGTGGGCCCGACCGCACAGGGGCGTCCACATCCGGGGTGGATGGCGTGCCGCATGGACAGCCGCGTTCAGGTAATGCCTGGGCCTGGCCGCCGGGTCCGCGCCAACACCACGCTCCCGGTCCGCGCCCGCGCGCGAGGGTCGTCGGCAGGAACCGCCCCGGTCCGCGGGGCCGGCTGGGGCCCCTCCGGCGCACCGCGGCGGCACTGCGCGCCCGAGGGGAGCGGGCTCTGCGCGGCCCCCGGGATGGGGTCGGTGTTGAGGGAGCTGCGGTGCCCCGGTGTGTGCGAGGGGGCTGAGCGAGCAAGGAGTGTCCAGCCGGGAAAAGGCCTGGCAAAGCGCGACGCTCAGTGTGGCCCGGAGCTACCTGGTGTCACAGAATCGCAGAGTATCCCGAGTTGGATCCACAGGAATCACCGAGTCTAAGTCCTGGCCCTACACAGGACACCTAAGAGTCACACCACGTGCCTGAGAGCGTTGTCCAAACCTTCTTGGACTCTGTCAGGCTTGGTGCTGTGGCCACTTCCTTGGGAAACGTCTTCCAGCACCTAACCACTCTCTGGGTGAAAAACCTTTTCCTCATATCCACCCTAAACCTCTCCTGACACAGCTGATAGCATTACAAGGAGATTAAAACTGTAGGGAATTCAGTGGCTTCTCATTTATAACTACTCGTTTTAGAACAGTAGAATGGTTTGGGTCAGAGGGAATCTTCAGAGATCATCTGATTCCAACCCCCCTGCCGTGGGCAGGGACACCTGCCACTAGACCAGATTGCTCAGAGCCTTATCCAACCAGGCCTTGAACTCTTCCAGGGATGGAGCATCCACAGCTTCTCTGGGCAGCCTGTTCTAGTGTTCTTGCTTCAGTATTTATGTCTTAAATGTGCAAAACAATGTTTAGCAACTGCTTTTACATGAATTGGAAGAGAACAGGCATTTTGTTGGGCTTCAGAGAACCAGTAGTACAGGACCAATATATATGGAGCAAACAGGAGCTAATTGATGCTTGCCATTATGTTTGTGATATCTCTGTATGTTAGTTCACATTTGGAAAACTTGCTTTTCCCATTTATCTTTTTCTGATTTTTCCTTCAGAAGCACTAGATTAACAAAACTGTGACTGCTTTGTTTAAGTATTAAGAATACTTTTATAAAAAAAAGATGGGGTTGTTTTTTACATTAATGATCCTTGCTTAAAATACTAATACACGAACACTGATAGTAGTATGTAATTAATAACAAGCGTTAATTATTTCTCATCTGACGCACTGCATGAAGCATATTTTGTAATTTTATATTTTCTCAAAGGCTCTAAGAAAAATTGTAGCATTTAGAATTGTTTTATATCATTTTGTACATCTGAATGCGGTCCTTGAACTAACAGATATTTCAGACACAGTTATAAAATTATACTTTCTGCGTTTCTTGAAAACCATTCTCCAGCCGTCTGTTCAGTAAACACTTCTGTTGATTTATAACTGATATTATTGAGGTGAAAGCTAGTAGTTTTTGTTAGGTATATGTGCAGACAGGTTCCTTGTAAGGAGGAAGCATTTTCGAGCAGAATGTAGGAAAACAGATCAGTTCAGAGTTTTCTCATCTTTCCATAACCATGTTGCTAAGCAGCTTTGCTTAGCATTTGCTTTGCCACACTGGTAGGCATCTTGATTCTCCTGTTGTTTGTTGTTGTGCGTTAGTGCTTGCTTATCTTTTTTTTTTTTTGCTATCTCTTGCCTACTCAAGAGCTTGCATGTGAACTTCTCTTTCTATTTGTTTTAGAACTGTGGAACCATTGGAATATTACAGAAGGTTTTTGGTGAGTAAAACATGAGATGCCTGTATAAGTTGCCTGTAATGAATTTTTTCTTTCTTGTGGTTCTTCAGATCTAACACGATGGAATATTGTTCAATTTCTAACTTAAGAGTCTTGTACTGTGCAGTTTCTGCCTGATGGTATTTGAATGTTACGGTTTTTTGGGGTTGTTTTGCTTTAGTTCACTCTCTTTAGAGCTCCACTAGGTGGGGATGGAGGAGGGGAATTGCCTATGAAACCTTAGCAGTGCAGACAGGTGGAAACTCTCATTTTAAGTTACCAACGAGTATTCATTCATGGATGATGTTCTGAATCTAGCCTGTAATACTTACCTTTGAGACAATCAATTTATTGTTATATTTTCTAAATAAATTATAATAAATTTTAAAAATCAGGGATTTTTTTGCAGGCCTAGAACCACAAACTACATATCAATTGATGAAAAACCAACTAGAGTGTGACCAAGTTTTTACTAGCATTTTTGAGACTGTATATTTCTGCTAAAAAGAAGAGAATATTATTTTATATCAACTTCTATAGCATAGGTATTACTGTATTATTTAATAAAGTATGTTTTCTAATTTGAACTTTGTAATTTTTGTTTAGAAAGAGAACTGTCGACCTGATGGAAGGGAGTTAGGTGAATTCCGAGCAACCACTGTCAACATAGGCAAGTGCTTATTTGGAATAATAATAATAATAATGGGGGAGGTATTATTAATATCAGGTTATAATAGTGACCTGAATGCCTTGCTAATTGGTTTTCTTGGTTCTTACTTTGAAACAAGGAAGAGAAAGGATTTTTATTTACCATTTCAGTAAGCATAAAAGAGAGTGCATGGCACAGTAATATACTTTAACATTGTTTTCAGTCCTGATCCTGGGCTCATGTGCACAGTGTAATTACTCAGGTCTGCTCCTGTCCAGGTACGTGCAGCACAATTTAGGTGGTTGTGGAATCTTGTTTCTGTCTAAGGTCAGCAGCATATGTTATAGATGCTGAAGGCAGCGACAAGGCATACACTGACCAGCACAAAATTGATGCCTGAGCATCTTGGGAGGGACACTGAGTTCTGGCTTCTGCTCGTTCTGAGCTTGGTGGGCACCTGCCTCAAGCAGAGGCAGAATGAGCCAGCAATGTGCCCTTGCTACAAAGAAGCCAATGTTGTCCAGGGCTGCATTAGGCACAGCATTGCCAGCAGTTAAGGAACATGATCCTGCTCTCTGCTCAGCACTGGTGAGGCCACACCTGGAGTGTTGTGTCCAATGCCGGGCAATGTATATAAATGCCTGAAGGGAGGGCATGGGAAAGACAAAGCCAAGTTCTATTCATTAGTGCCCAGTAACAGAACATGAGTCAATGGGCACAAGCTGAAACACGGGATGTTCCCTCTGAACATGATGAAACACTTCTTTACTGTGGGAGTGATGAAGCACTGGCACAGGTTGGCCAGAGAAGTTGTGGAGTCTCCTTCCTTGGAGATAATCAAAAGCCATCTGGGTACAATTCTGGGCAACCAGCTCTAGGTGGCCCTTCTTGAGTAGGGATGTTGAACCAGATGAGCTCCAGCTGTCCCAACCTCAGTCATTCTGTGTGATGGTTTAATATAGAGATTCTGTCCCACTCTGGATTTGAGACGTTGCTTATCCTCTGTTTAGTATAAAATGATGGAAAGTTAACACTTTGTGAAGGTGGATGTTAATTAATGCTCTCTGAATGAAAAATAGATTTTATTGAACAGTACTTTTCCTCTTCAGGTTCAATTACAACTGCAGATGGTTCTGCCCTGGTGAAATTAGGAAATACCACGGTGATTTGTGGAGTGAAAGCGGTATGGTTGGTTTTATTTTAATTTATGTGTTAGCAGAATTTGTGCATTGGTGTTTAGAATGAATTGCCCACAGAGTTACAATAATGTGCCAATCAGACACAATTACAGTCTTTCACTAGAGTTATTTTCAGACATGAAAGTTAATATAGAATTTAATTACCTAATCCTACCTGTTTAGTCTGAGGACATGTATTTTTTGTGGTGCCCATCGTGTAGGGGAAAAGATGTATACAAATATAAACTCCTTGTTATTTCTAGATAAAAGCTATATAATTGAAAAGTTACTGAATATTGATCAATAAGTGCACTGGGGATTAGTTGGCTGGACTATCAAGTGCCTTGTAGCCTTAACTTTACTGCTGGCCTGCCATGAACTATGAGCCAAATCACTGCAGGCCCCTGTACTGGGTTTTTCCGTAGGAAATTTACAGACAAGGACCGATTAAAAATGGCTTTTGTAAATCTCATTGTAATGATAACTTTCAAGAAAATGACTAGTTGTATATAGAATAGCTGGAAAATCTTGTCTTTTTTGTTTCTCCAGGAACTTGCTGCACCTGCAGCAGATTCTACTAATAAAGGGTATATTGGTGAGTGTGGATCTTGCTCAGGTCTTGTGTTGCTTCAGTTAAGAGGCTGTAATGACAGATTGTGTTGGGAAGATTTCTTAAAAGAATGGATTTGGTAAAATTATATTTCCAAATTGACATCTAGGCAGTGGTACCTCAGAAATTTTAGAATGCCCTCTGCTTGTGAGTTTTCCATGTAAAACTACTTTTTTATTGCTGATTCCAGGCCAGGCTGGAAACAGACCTGCAGCAGGGGCAAGCGTGTATATTAAGAGGGGGAAGGTAGTTAATCTATAAAAGATTATGGCATACAAGGTTGTGCAAAGGCATGTTAACTTCTGTTTTGAAGACAGTAGACAAAAAATATAACTCTTGAAAACACTGAAATAAACCCTGTTTATTTCTTGGAAAACTCTAAAAGTCCTGGGGGTACCTCCCTGCTCCTGTTTGAGTTTCTTTGGAAATAAAATAGTTCTGTGGAACTGAGAGGTTAGACCAAATCCCTCTTTTGTAAGGCATCTCCAAAGTATGTTATTTTCAGAGAGCTTGGGTTTTTTTCACAAATGTTTATGCATGTTTTTGCTTCAAGTCTAAAGCCTCAGTTTTTAATGACTGATGAAAAACAGATAGCATACCAGTCAAGTCAGGCAGTGGGATGAAAATACTGCTGTTTCTTGATCTACTGAAGAGTGCCTAACACTTAAAGAAGAGTTTGTATGGGGTCATGATAGCCATAGCAGGATTATAAACAGAAAATGGTAGTTAGGATTATGTGTTCTACCATGAAATATATAGTTTCTAAATATAAAGTACTACGAGTTCTTTAAAACCAACTCATGCGTAACTTTAGTTTTGAAAGGAGTAGGAGGCTTGATTGAAAAATTTTTCATCTTGCCTTGCATTTGAAGTACATAAAATGATATTAAGAGTGATTGTTGACTTAAATCTATTTTTGATATCCCATTGCCTGCTTTTCTGATGCCTAGTACCAAATGTAGAACTACCATCCCTCTGTTCAGAGAGGTTTCGCTCCGGACCACCTGGTGAAGAGGCTCAAGCAGCAAGCCAGTTCATTGCAGATGTGATTGAAAAGTAAGAACCACCATAGTGCATTTAAAACACAGACAACTCTGCAAGACAGTTTTCTGTTTCCTGGCTTATTCTCTCATGTTATTTTAGTTCACAGATGATAGTGAAAGAAGATCTGTGTATTGCAAATGGCAAGGTAAGTTGTATATCAAAATGAAGAGGGGAATACTAACAAGATCTCAGTAATGAGATGTTAAAGAAGGTATTTGGGGTTATAGGTTGTTTTGTTTTTGTTTTGCTTTTCAGTCTTCATGGTTTGGTTTACATCTGAAGTGTAAAAAAAATTTGCATGATAGAAATAAGTATCTCTATTCAATGTGGGTAGAATTTTCTTGCCTATTGCACGATTTGCTTAGCTGCTGTGATATCTCACGTGTGCAAACCTTTTTTGATAGCTTGCTTGGGTGTTATACTGTGATATCATATGTCTGGACTATGATGGAAACCTTTTGGATGCCAGTGTCTTTGCTTTGTTAGCAGCATTAAAAAATGGTAAGTCTTCTTTAGAGTAAGGGACATGTTCTTATTAGTGTTGCTTGGAGAAATGCGTTAATTTTGAACCATGTTTAATAGATAACTGGTTCACAGTTTGTTAGGACTGCTTGTTTCCTGTCATTTGAATGCTAAATTACTAAAATGCAAAGTGAAAATGATGGTATGGGTACCATAGGTGTGTAACACCAGGAGAGACTATATTCCTGGTTTTTATATGTCCAGTAGGCTTTTTGGGGGAAAAATACTTTTTGTTAAATATGACTCCAAACTATTTTAATTGCATGGCATTTTAGAAATAGAAAATGCTTCTGTGTAAGGATAAATGCTTCTGTTACCTTGAGGAGAAAAATCAAATACTTCCTTGAACAGGTAGTCCTAAGCTAAATACTTTGCTTGAAATTGAGATTTATTTTCTTTTGTACAGAATACTGTTAACGTAGCCAAAACTCTATTCTGATTGATTTTTGGTGGGTTAAAAGGACAGCTTAAATATTTCAGTAGTCTTGGACATCTTTAGGCCTGCTAAACCCAGCAGTGTTTAATATTAGACCACTGTAATTTTTTCATCTCTTCAGTACAATTGCCATCGGTTATTATAAATGAAGAAACTGGTTTATCAGAAGTGAATTTAAAACAGAAGAGTCCTTTGACTATCAGAAAGCATCCAGTTGCCACATCGTTTGCTATATTTGATGAGTAAGTTCATAACTGTTTTGTACTTGTGGAAACAACTGTGTCTGTAAAAGTTTGAGTGAAAGACTGAGGATGCTACCAGTGATGCTTCTGCACTTCTAGTGATGAGTGTGCAGCCTCAGGCAGTGCTGTTTAACTCATCTTATATCCAGGCCTCTCTTGTTGAACTGACCTGTAGTTCTGTGATGTGAATGAATATGCAGAACAAAACAGTCTACACAGCTTCTTCCTGTGACTTTAAGCTGAACTGGCTCCCAACCTAAAAGATATGCTTAAAAGTACAGGGATAGGTATTGGTTTAGGTTTTTGAAATATCCATGAGATGAAACAATGTTACCAATGCAATTAATGTTTTAGAAGCCTATGTAAACAACTGATATAAAAGATAGTACTTTTCGAACAGCTTATACTAAGAACATAGTCAACAGAGGAAGTAAGAAGTAACAGTCTAGTTAGAACAACATAACCTCTGGATAACTGACACATAATTACCTAAGGTGAAGTATGACCAGCACTCCTAAGTCATTGTTTATGTAGGAAAAGAATTGAATTATGAGATTTCAGAATAATCACATCTGATAATTTTACTCCTCACCTGAAATTGTTTACTGGCTCTTCGTTAGTCCAAGTTAAGGATATATTCTGCTGCTGTTTATAAGAAATGCAGTCGTTTCTGGTGGCATCCATTTGAAAGTAGAAAATGACAAACAAGACAGTGTTTACTGTACTATTTAAGATTTAGGTCTATTTAGACACATTGGTAGTTTATGACACATTAATCTGTATTCACAGAAGTGATTAGTAGGGCCTTTCACTCAAATAAGAGGGTGGGGAAAACAATAAACTCAAATGTTGACCAAGTGATTACCAAAATGAATCAGAACAGGATTTTATTGGTACTTTAGAGTGCCTGTGTTAATTGCTTTAATACCAGTTCTGATGGCTCTGAAATTTGATGTACACTGAGAGAGTTTGGGTAACATACTGGACAGACACACAAATCACACTTACTTACATATAGACAAAAAAATTACCTTTGTAAGAAAGCTTTCTTTGCATATCTCTCAGGCTTTGTTTCCTTCACTGAAATCAACTGTTGCCTCAAACAAGCTACTTAAGTCTCCCTTTAGCTCCCAAAAGTAAATATCGAGGGGGTATGTGCCTGTGTTGTGTAGTTGGTTGGTTTGTTTGTTTTAATTCTGATTTGTTTGTTTTTCTACAGCTGTCGACACAGCCCTCTAAATAAAATGCTTGACTACTCTGGCATTCAGAGGCATTTTTCTTCTGTGTGAAAGCCCTCCTTGAATAAATAAGATTTGTAGGTTGCTGGGTGGTGTGGCAGTGGGTGAGGAGCACTGGTGCAGAATGTGGTGCAGCTCCACAGCTGGCTGCTGGGGTGTTGACTTGTACATAAAAAATAAATGATACTTTTAACTCTTCATGTGTCCCTGCATCACACAAAGGGCTGATGTGTCACAGTGTTAGACTTTTAAAAAGCAGCACTTTTGTGCAGGGTAGCTATGTTTTTGTTACTATTGCTATTAAATGGCAATCTGAAATATTGGTGAGGTTTTAAAGTTCAGCTTTAAGTTCAAGTTTTTCTTGTTGAACAAAGTTGGCTTATAGTTTAGATCCTCTTTTTTTTCCATTGATTTTGTTCCATTTTTAACTTAAATGATTCAAAAATAACAGTATTTAATCTCTCAAAGATATGCATCATGTGATGTATGACAGTTTATTTTGTATGCTTTAAGGACAGTCAAACACCCTGTAAATCCATTTTTTAACTATTCCCAGGCTGAGTGATGTTAGAGTTCTCTGACAAGAGACTGAGAACTACTTTGGGTGAACTTACCATTGGAAATGAGTTTTGCATTAAGGTGACTGGTAGAGATTAGTGCAGGCTACACCCCATACCAGTCTTTGTGTAACTACACAATGAGTGACTGCATCCTTCAAATGGCAGTTTAGTGGCATTTTCCTGCGATACACGGATGTCACAAATCTAGGAGACTTTAGGCATAAAGCTGTATTTTCAGTAGACATATACACTGGATTATGTGGAATCTCCCATATCTTTTGACTTTTAAATTGTTTTTAAATCAGCACACTTCGGTAAGAAAACAGCCTGGGCACTAAATCCATCTACAAGTATATTGTAAGACTGCAGTAAAAATTAATGTTATCTGTATTTTGCAATAATGTTAATGGAGCAATATGTACAAACATGTCTGCATGTGTTTTTTCTTTCACAAGCACATTACTCATTGTTGATCCAACTGCTGAAGAGGAAGATTTAGCAACTGGAACAGTAACCATTGTCACTGATGAAGAAGGGAGACTATGTTCTGTCCATAAACCAGGTACTTCCAAGTTTATTACAGTATATTACATATGGGTTTATTATTAAACCTATGGAGATGATAACGTTTAGGTCAAGAAAAGACTATGTATCTGCTTTGTTTTGTAAGATTTGGGGGTGCTTTACAGTAACAGAGTGTCTGCTCAAATACTCATTAAATTACTTCTCCTTGAAATTAGTTTTTAAGATGGTGGCGTGACTGAAGTTCAAAAAGAAGTCACAGCTTGACTTACATACAGCAGAGGACAGATTTTAAGCCTGTCTTCTGTTACAACTCTAGTTTTTTTCCATTGTCTTTGCCTGAGGCTAGAGCTGGGAAAGCTGCATGATCCCCAGGTGAAAGGTGTGTTGGTCATGAGAATTACTATATTAATACTCTTATTTGTAAATCACATTTAGAGATACATAACTGAAGTATAAGTAGAAAATCAAATTGTTCCCTTTAATTTTTAGGTGGAAGTCCTCTTACAGGAGCCAAGCTTCAGGACTGTATCACCAGAGCAATTACAAGACATAAAGAAGTAAAGAAGCTGATTGACAAAGTAATAAAAAGTATAATGTCCAAGTGAACGAAAGGAGAGATCTTTTAAAAAATGGATTTGTAAAAATTGTATTTGTTACAGTGTTCACAAACCTTTTATACTAAATAAACAAATACCAATACTACCTTTACAAAGATCATTTTTTTCTAAAACGGTTTTCACCCTTATTCTATGTATAATGCTGCTGAATGGTAAAAAATACAAGATAAAACATTCTGTTAAAAAATTTAAGTAACTTAAGGAAACCAGATCCTAGCTGCTTTGTAGATGAAATTTCTAGGTTCTGTAGGGTTGGCTTCCAAAATCAGTTCATTTTTTTTAGAGTAACGTCAAAACTTAATTTTCCCACCAGTAATAAAACCCACAAATTTAACTTTAAGCTTTCTCCTTATTAATCTGAAAAAAATCCCCGTTTAATCAATTTTTGGGGGGGGAGGCAAATCTCATAATTTTGGAGGGGCTGGTGTGCCTCTTTTACTTTTTGAGTGGCTGCCTGAATGCTGTTGATGATGCAGGTGAGCTGCTTGTGCTGCTGCTGCTGCCGCCATGGCCATTTGATGCTGCAAGAATCAAAACTGCTGCCATGAAGGAGAAGGGGGAGAAAAAGCTTGCTAGTGTTGACTATAAAGCTTTCATGTCAGGAAGAATGAGAGGAAGGGGGGGGGGAGGGGGAAAGTAGAAAAATGAGGAAGCACCAGGTTGACAAAAGGAACACACCATGTACTGGGGCAGTGGGTACAGTCAAGCAGCACCCAGGATACAGAAGTCTGCAGAGGGTACAGCTAACGTTTTATATGTGTATGTGCCCTGTTTTGTTTTTTTGCCCTTTTTCTTCATTGCAGTAACTGCAGTAACTCAACAACTTCTGTGAATGTTTGGGTTACACAGTGCATTTTTAACATATTACCTTCTCAGTGTATGCATCGTATGTATTTTCTTTATATATTACAAAGAGCAGACTGTGTGCTGAAAAAATATTAAAATATTTTCATAAAGCATCTGGATGACAGAATGGTAAAAGGAATGCTTTGCAGAGCTGTTGCTTCCATGTACTGATTGTAGCAGTGCTACATTTGAACTTGCAGGTGCTTATATTCATGCCATTTTAAAGTCTATTGGCACCTGCCAGACCTGATTTAGATAAGTGTCACAAGCACCCCTTGAATGTTTGCAAATCAGGAAGGTGGATGGCTTAAATGAATAAAAGTAAATTCAGTGCTCCAAGCTGAGAGAACCATAGATTATAAATCTTGCATGATAGTTTGCCAAATTCAAGGTTTTTTGTAATTTGTGAGACCATAGTGACATTAGTTAAAGAAGTCAAAAGGGCAGGATTTTTGATTTTGGAGCCAAGAATTGTATTTTTTTGGTTTGTTTTTGTTTGATTTTTTTTTTTTTTTTTTAAAAACTCTGTCAGAGTGAGGTTGCTGGATTGCTTGTATCTGTTGCTGCTGCTGCTGCTGCTGCAAGGCTTGTTGCTCTTGCAAGGCCGAAGAGAGCTGGAATCTCTGCTGAGGGAGGCTTTGCCCAGGTCTGTTCATGGCAGAGCCAAGCTGAGACAACACTGAGAAAGGAGAACAGAAAGGCAGGCAGGTCAAAGAGGTCAGGTTGAGTTTGTCAGGGCTGAGGAAGGAAGACATAGGAATACAGTGTAGCAGGAAAGGGGATCAGTAGAATTAGTTTCAGAGTCAGATTGAAAACAGTGCAGAGTAAGGTATACATGATATATGTACTCAGAACATAACTAGATTATGAAGTGCTTGTGGAGACACAAATAAGTTTCTCACATCAGATGTTAAGCACAGAGTTAAAGAAATACTCCTCAGTGAAGTCTGGCATGGAAGTTCCCATCATTTTCTTTTTGTATTAAGTATAGCTTATTTTCATGTGATACAATCAATTGACTGTACTTAACTGCCAAACAAAACAGAGAAGTGCATATGTTAAAAGTCCAGTATTTCTTGTGTAACTCACATGCTGATAATAATCAATAAATTGTTCTGATCTAACATATGACTTCTTTAAGATCAAACTCCACTTCAGTGTGAATTTATCAATATACACACTTAACTACAAAAGGAGGCTCAGCAAGCACATACCTGTGGCTTGAGGTTGCATAAAATTCCCTACTCCAGTCAGGTTAATTACAACAGCTTGTTGGGCAGATAATGCCTGATCTTGAGTGGATGGACCTTGGTCAGACCCCTAGCAAAAATGAAAAGCTTGATCCTTATTACCAAACTTTGGTTTGAAGTGTTGTTTAAAAATATTTAATGCTATGTCCTCCGGTGTATGTATATACAGGCAATAATGCAGTCACTACAAATAGAACCGATGTTGAATGCCCCCAAACAGCTTTGTTTTGGCAGAAATGGTACTGCACCTGTTACCCTGCAGAAGTCCCATGTAGTTGTCAACTTCCCTGTAGTCTAGCAGAGACTAGACTTTATGGTTGTAATCTTATGACTGTTTCCTGTCCCACTCCCAGCCCCAGAATCTTCAGGTGACCCTGAAACCATCCATGTGCAAAGGTCCTAATCAATCAAAGTATGGAAAGCCTGACACTTTACTTTCCCATGTTCATATTGTGCCACACACTCCTTAATTTCATAAAAAATACAAACCCCGCTTTTAAAATTATATTTTCAGAATAGAGTAGTTCTCAAGTAATCACACAAATAGAGTAAGTGGAATCTGACAGTATCTCCTGAAGTCAAAGGGTGCTGAATTATGACCTCTTCTAGAACTTAAATTATGCATTGTTTTATAACATAGGGAAATAAAGCATTATATTCACAATCCAAGCAAACTGCACGGCTTATCAGTCAGATAAAGAGCCTGGTGCATTCCAGGAGCTGTGATGCTTCTTTAGCATAACCATATGATATAATGCCACTAAGATCTAAGAAAACCAGACCAGAAGATTGCGTGTTAAGAAGACATCATCACCTCTAAGACTGATGACTAAGACTTGCAGAGTCATAGAACCATATGGAGAAAACCCTAAGAATGAGATGAGAATGCATCTGTTCTGTTGGTAGCCAAGAAAATTGTTGGTCTTTATGGTTTGTTTCCACTAAGCACTGTGAGTACATATGTTCTTGTCCTTATGAAAGATAAGGGATCTACTGTTCATAATAGCTCATTTTAGGTAACGACCCCCTAGTCTTCCTCTAGAATGCACAGAAAGAGGGAAATTCCTTAGGGTAATTTAACCAATGCAGAGATTGATTTCCTCCACAAGAACTTTCTACCACAAGAAAGACTAAGCTTACATCAGCCTTTTTGTAAATGCCCTTGATGTTCAATGTCTAGACTATAAAAGAGTATGAGCTAGCATGATTTTTTTTCAGTAATTTAACCAGTAACTGACATTCAGACATTTGGATGCTGTGAACAAATCTGAAAATTTCCCATTAAACTGTTCCACATTCCAGAACAAGGCTTGTGACACAGGAGACTATACACCGTAAAATATTTGAGACAGGCATCTTGTTTATGAGCAGTCTACAGTAGCACAAGTGAAATGATTATGACAAACTTCAGTATCCAGTAGAGACTATTTGGTAAGCAAAAGTCTTGCATGTCTGGGAAGACAAACACAAAAGCAGAGCAGCTAGTTTTCCCAAACTGCTGCATCAGTGTTGGTAAAGATTTTTAAGTGCAGGCAGAACTAACCACTCAAAATTTGTCATTTTGAGAATAGGTCTCGATCAAGACTTTAGACTTTTTCAATGCTTAAAGCCTTTAACACCAATTACAGGCAAGAGTAGTGCAAATGTCTTAAGATTACAACTTTAAAGCCAACTGATACCTCCTCTGGTGCAAAGAAAATTCTGTTGAATTACAGCAGTGAGGATTGTAAGCCAGCTCACAGCAGTGTAAGTAAGAAGTTTTAGTTAACTTTGTAATAATCGTGACAGCATTTTTTCCTCTGTTCATCTGATGTATCTGCTAGTTATGATAAACATTAACACTAAACTGATTTTACACATCCAGTAGGCTGGCTCTCTTCATGATAGAGTTAGACAATGCTCAGCCAGTGGTTTTGTTACAGCTCTTCTATACAGTATACAAATAAAGAAGTATAACTCAGTTCCAGTCATAGCAACAGAGCCACTGCAGTCTTTGCTGTTCGAGAATATTTAGGAGGAAGACTTTCCTCTCTCTCTGCTACAGATCTGTTGGGTAAAGGCTCGTTTACTTGTGAAGGTGGGGAGAATAGGAGAAACTGTTTCATCCATGCACCCCAGACTGAGGGCTGTTAGCACACACCCGTTCTCCCTGTTGCTGAGGACTACAGGTTGTAGGCTGCTGAGGTTGTTGCTGTGGAGAAAACTGTGATAGCTGCTGCTGGAGTGGGTTAAAAATAAGTGAACTGCCTGGAAGCTGATGAAGATTAAAAACAAAAGGTGTGATTCAATCAAACTGCTGAGTTTCCTACTGTTCTAGGATGAACATAACATTGATAATGACATACTCCCTAGAGGTTTCTTTTTTGGTTTGTTTTTTAATTCCTTTAAAATCAATAAGTTTACAATTGCTGCTGTTTGGGAAAAAGTCTTATGTTCTGAAAACAAACCTGCATGAAATTATAGTGAGATATGTCCACAGAAAAATACATTTTAATTATTCTAATTAAAACAGTAGATATTGTACTGATACTGAAAATGTAAATGTTAGCCTTCAAAAGCCTTGCATATTATTTCATCTTTCAGAATATTCCACTGGATTTTAATAGATAGTGAGATGACCTTGATTTCTCTCCTTACCCCAGGTTTAATTACTCTGATTTCAGCCAAATATTCTTGGTGTATATGAGTGGCAGAGCTAGCTTGAAAGGATGTGCTTCAATGTGGAATCATACAAATACAAGCATTTAGATCTATAGAAGAGCTCTACTCTGGCATAATTGCCTCCTGTGCCTCCCTTTTCCATGTTTCTGGAGTGCGTACAGGAGTGGGAGGTAGAAGTGGCAAAACTACAGCTGTTCTTTTACTGGTAATAACTTCTTGAAGCATGGTGAAACACGTGGAACACTGTAGCTGCAATTCTGCACCTGTAACTGGCAACTGACTTCAAGATCCTGGAACTCCACCCAGTTCCACAAACAGTCCTT